CTCCAAAAACACTTGACAGATCATCTGCAGATCATGTGTGAGGACGCACATTCTCAGCCTTTTGACTGAGCTCTTCTGACACAGAATTTCCATTACAGGAGAAGATGGGCTGCATTGTATAGACAATTCTCCCCACTGGAAATAGCTAAAAATGCCATGTAAAATACGAAAACCATCCTAAAAGCAACAAAGTGATGACAAGATACTAATAAATGACCACATGTCAAAAAAGAAGGGAAAGATCCTGTTTGGCCTCCGCAGAGAACATGGTCCTGAGAAAAGGAGAAAGGCTCCATGAGTTCACAGCCCACAGCCCAGGCGTGGAGCCCGGCACGTCCAGCTCTCCGCCTCCACCACGCTCTTGACTTTTTCTATCCAACTGCGTTTACTTTTTAAAAATATAAATGTAGTTTTGACTTCTGATTATGATGTACAGGTAATGTATCATATATGATATAATGTACATTCAGTGTAAAACAAATTACAAAGTGTTGAAAGTGATCAATGACAAAGTAAAAAGAACTGAAATCCTCACATTTTGTTGCTTTTTCTTTTAGTTTATTATTCATCTTTCTGTTGCTGCCCAAGGGCTGGAACTTTCTCTAAGTTGATGAGCACAGACCTCAGTGGCCACCACCCCGCACTGTCAGATGCCGTGCCCTGAGTCAGCTCACTCTTCCACCTCCTGAGAGGCTGTCTTTCACTTCCTTCTCCCTCCTTGATCCCCCCCACTGCCTCCCCATTTCCCATCCTTAACGGTGAACTTCTGTTTTCCTCAGAAAATAAAAGAGGACTCAGGTGAGAATGACATCCTCCTCCTCCCCTACTCCTGAATCTGCACCTGTATCCTCACCTTCCCACCAGTGATGATGGATGGCCCCTCATGTCTAAGGCTGCCCCTCAGCGAGGGCACAGGGTATGGCTCCTCCCTCCCCTGTATCAGCAGTTTCTGGCTCTCTTCTGGATCATTCCTTCCTGCCTACAAGCATGCTATAATTCTTCCCGCTAAAAAAAAAATAATAATCAAACTAAACTAAATAAATCAAAGCAAATCATCCCATAAAAACCCACCACTATGTCCAGTTTCATTTTAACTACTGCCCTATGTCTGTGACTCTCCTTACAGAACAGTTCCCGAGTCCATTGTCACACCTACTGGATTATCTTTTCATTTTTATCTAATGGATATGTGCACATAGCTTTAAAGAGTATAAGACTTCTACGAGACTTTATATCAAGGCAGAAGACTCAATCTTCCAGGCTTCCCCAGATCTTGAATGTCAGAGACAAGCTGTTTTAGTTCTTTCAGCTGATTCTCTAATTGTTACTTCAGTACCTCTAAACAGCATCCTCTTTATGATGCTCCCTCTTTGTTTTTCAGTTTTATGTATCATCTTTAGTTAATTGGTTTTTCTTTCACTCTCCCCTGTCCTCCCACTATAATTATAGTTCATAATTAAAAATTTATCAATTTTGTAATTTTGGTTAGCTCAACCTGCAATATTTACATTATGATGATGATGGAAATGAAAGTCACAACTGAGCATTTAGTAGACTATGATTATTTTTCTTTTATTTTTTTGAATGAATTTTTTATTTTCCCTGGAATAAATGGTAGTTTTGTTGTACTAATTTTAAACCATCCTCAAACTCTCCCCAGAGTCTAGTCTTCGTGAACATCTTTGAGTGCATCTGATATTCTGTCCACTTCCTCTCTTTGCACAGACCTGTCCCACAGCCCTCAGTCATGCCTCGTATGGACAGGGTCCCTGCACACCTGGGGCAGGGCTGAAGTCCCGGATCTCCTTCACTACCTCTTGGGCAGCCCTCTTCCTCTCTTGTTTGGCTCCCCTGGGGGCCTGGATCCCATGGCTTCCCTATTGTTGATTTTCTCCATCATTTCCTCTGACTTTCCCTAATGGTATCCTGAGGAAGGGAATGTGGAAAGTGAATCACTATAACTCTGAAGGGCCTTAGGCTTCCCCAGGACTGACTCACATCTTGACTAGATGTACAGATCTCTGTTGGAAATACTTATTTCCTCAGAATTCTGAAGGCATTGCTCAATGTCTTCCTGGCACGTGTTTGTTGCCTCTTGAGGTTTTCAAGGTCTCTTCTTTTCCAACCTCTTTCTCAGGTGTCACTGTGATGGGCCCTAGTGTGGGTCTGTTTCATCTAGTGCACTAAGAATTTGTGTAGGCTGTTCAAGATACAAGTTTTTGTCGGTAAACTTAGCAGTTTTCTTGAATTTTTTTTTATCATTTCCTACTCTCCATTATTTTTGAAACTTTTATTTGTGACTTGTTGGAACATCGTGACTGATAGATATATTCTTACAGGTCCTCTCTCCTCCTTGCCATTAGTTTTCCATCTACTTACTGGGAGCATGACTGTAATCTTCCAATTCATCTATGGAATAATTCATTTCTATGACCATATTTTTAATTCCCAAAAGCTCTTTTTTATTCTATGATTGAATATAATTGTATAGAATTGTTTTTGTCTCATATTTCATTTATCTTTTCCATCTTTCAGGTATCATTGATTACAGCAGCAGGGGACCTGTCAGGACTCCTGTTATCTGCTCTCATGGCATCATGAGCTCTTCCTCACGGCACTTAGTGTAGTCGTGATGTGCATCTGTCTCGCTCATTTCTGTCCCTCTCCTGCACAGCAGAGCCTGTCTCCCATCAGCAGGGGCCTAACTGTTGCTCTCCTCCAGAGTCTCCAGATCCTCATGCAAATAGATGCTCCTTAGCCTCTCTGAGTCTCCTTTCCCTGTCTGCACAAAGGGATCACGCAGTGAACACCTCATGGGTTTGCTTTGAGGGATAATTTGA